ATAAATATTGTTAAAAATTATCATATAATATATAACTAAAATAATATATATATATATTCTATATATCTAAATGCTTATTCTTTAAATAATAATAATAATAATAATAATTATTATTATTATTATTATAATACTAATATTATATATATTGCATATGTAATTAGGTAAATATTTTTTTGGTGGATTGTGGATTTCCTAATCGACGCCAATTTTTAGTTCCATTTCGAGATGTAAGATATCATCTACAAGATTTTGCAGGTTAGGGTAATGACCCTGAAAATGAGAAAGAATTGTTCAATCTTCGTCATCCGTCTTTTAAGGAATGTGATCGAGAAAATATTTGGTATTTTTAAATCAAGGTTCACAATTTTTAAGTCAGCACCTCCATTTCTATTTAAGACACGAGTAGAACTTGTGTTAGAAAATAAATCAATTTTAATTATTAATAATTTATTTTAAATAATATTAAAATTTAATCCATAAACTAATATGATAAATAAAAGATTAAATTAGATAAGAAATTAGAATAATTGATTAAAACAGAACAATAACACCTTAAAAATGCTTTTACGAAAGATAATTATTCGCGTAAAATCACTCTCTTCAAATTGAATAAAAAGATAAACTAAAATCGTTCACACTTGAAAACACTCATTGAATAAATAAATAAAAAACTGAAAGGTAAAATCGTTCATAGGCAAATACGTTTCTTCAAGATAATATATAAAAGATAAGATATTTACAGAAAGATTAATTTTAAATTGAATCAACATTAGATTTAAAAAAAATAATAATAATAAAAAAAAAAAACAAAGTGATAAGATAAGATAAGTTAATTTATCCATTGCAAGCGAATATTTCTAAACCAATGATTAAACACCCAAATATTGGGCACCAATGCCAAAGTATTTACTAAGCTACCTCAGCAAACACACAACTTTGTTCATTTATAGTAAAAAAATCTCTTTTAAGGATCCAAACAAAAGTGACAGGACAGACACTGATGCGATGCCAAGTTGTGTTTCTTCTCATTCAAAACTCTCTATTTTAACACTTTCTCGATACGTCCACATGCCACTCTGTCCCAATCCCTACCATACACATAACACATCATAACACAACACAACACAACACCCTCTTTCTTATTCACTCCTTCAACATTCAACATTCAACAGCAACAGCAACAACAACGTTGAGCAGGTTGCAACCATGGTGCGAAATGACAACAGCAAAGACAAGGAGAGAGACCTCGAGTTCTCCTTCGATCACAACGACGAGGATGTCGACCAACAGGATATTGAAGCCCTCAAGTACGAGAGTGAGAGTAGCAGTGAGTATCATAGTGAGGATGATGATGGTGGTGGTGATGATGATAATCGGAGACTACACCCCAACTCTTTCTCTTCTCAGCAGTGGCCTCAGAGTTACAAGTACACTACCACCTTCTTTATTTAGTTATCTTTGGTTAACATCACTTGTGTTTTGCATGTTTAAATTGGGTTGGAGATCTTGTATGGACTACTAATGAGTTCATAATAGAATATATAAGTGATAAAATTATGTTGGAGATCTCACATCCACTAATAATTAAGTCATAATAATATATGTAAGTAATCTCAAATCTACTAATAGTGAATATAAGAATGAGATCATAATAGTGTATACAAGTGGAGAAAGATTATGGTTTACAAGCTGGTTTTGAAAGGTTAAAATTGGATAGGATCACTGTAGTTACTAAAGCTATGTGGGTTTTTAGCAAATCTGTTGGAGGGTTTAAACTCGAGAGACTACTGCGAGCATGGTGATTTGCCTGATTTGAATTCCTTAACTCTAGTTGTGTCGCTTGCTTTCGTGTAACTTCTGTTTGGGTCCTTTTCTTCTGTTTGTCAAATTTAAACGGCCATTTTAAACGAAATTATATCCCAATTTTTTTTATGATTTTAATAGTGCTTTGTTAGGGGTGTCCGTATTTCTTCAAATTTAAGTTGTTTTCTTTTTTGCTTGATTGTACCTATGTGATAAATTGAGAAATTATTGTGTGATCTAGAATCATCATGTGTCCATGATCCGACCAATTGGTCCACACGTGAGATACTTAAAGGAGTTTTCTAAAAAATAAGGGTACTTCAAAATTCATGTCATAGTTTTCTAAAATAAGGGTATTTCAAAATTCATGTTGTGGTACATGTTGGTATATGTTGGGTAATCATGATGAGTACTTGCCCAAAATGTTTTTTCTAAAAAAGTGGGTACTTAATTTGGGTACACATGGGTTATGTATGGACTTGTGCTCAAGTCCGATAAATAAAAATTATATCTTCCAATGAAATCATTTTTTTCATTAATCTTATTTACTCTCGAAACTCAAGAAAGAGTAAGTGAGCACAAATGTGAGACATTGATGAAGATGAATGAGGTTCATTTGAATGGACTAACATTCTTACAATTGCTATTTTTTTTTCTTGCTTAACTAGAGTTCAAAACTATTTTATTCACTAATGATTGAAAAGGAAATAACGAGATCGAAATATTTAAAAATGTGTAACATCACAATTAAAGTGTGATATCATAGTCATGCTTAGATGTTATAACTTTTATTGGTGAATATTTACATATTTTTTTATCATATTGAAGAATTTAATCTTTTTTATATTACAAATGCTTATTTGTGAATTTCTTTTATACAATTTACTCATGTTTATATAATTATATATATATATATATATATATATATATTTAAATTATATTAATATACCTGTATCCTAGATTTTTTAAATCTGTTGTATGTGTATCCATACTAGTATCCATATCCATGCAACATAAGTTTTATTAAATTTTTCTTGTAAGTTGAATTTTTCAACTGTGTTATGCAGAATTTGGATGTTCCAGATGATAAAATGATTTTTCGGTGCAAATCCTTACATGAAATTCATAATAATTAGGCATATTTTTATTGCATCAAATTGTTTAAATTGCTTTGGTAGTTCACTAGTACTGTTTTATTGCTGGGCTTCCTTTTTCCTAGTAATCTGAATGAGCTCAGAATAATATTCTTCTCTTATTCTGTGTTTATGACAGAGAGACTACGGATTCTTACACAATAGCTGCTGCTCCGAATTTGGAGTCAGTTCTGCGAGGGCCAAGTTTTATATATTCTAGTTTTGGTAATCGTTCAAAGAGTAGCTTAGACATTGATGGAAAGACTCCTTTTCTATCTGCTCCTGATGGCATTAGTCAATCAACTTGGTGGGAGAAAGCTTCAGTACAGCGCCACTTTTCTGGAGAATTGCCCATTGGATATGGATGCACCTTTTCTCAAACAGTTTTCAATGGTACTATGTTATTTTGTTGCATTCTGTTACTGTACCATGTTGGGGAACATTTAATTTGGAGTGAAGCACCATTTGAGTCCCTGAAAGAGTATGTCACTGACACTTTGGTCCTTGATAGCATAAAAGTTCAAAAAAAGAAAGGTCCTAAAAGTTTATAATATTGTTACTCACTTTAGTCCAAAATTCAAAAAAGTATGGCTTAAATCATAAAATTAACATATATGTAGGGGCTAGAATGATAATAAATGGTTACACTTAGGGACTTCAATGATATGAAACAACTATAACTTTTTAGGACTTATTTAAAAAAATTTTACTTCCAAGGATTAAATTGCTAGTAAATGCAGGGACCCGAATGGTGTTTTACCCTTTAATTTGTTATGTGCATGTTAAAGGGTAAAACACCATTCAGGCAATGACATTGTAAATTCCATTGTTGGCAATAACATTCTTCAATTAGGAAACAATGCATTCTTACTGACTGCTTAATAATATTAGGGATTGACTGTGAGCTTGGATTCGCATATTTTATGTTCATAATATCTGATAATCTATGGCTTTCAGAGATAGTTTTTCTAAAAATAAAAAATAAAAGCTATTATTGGATAACAAAAGAATCAAAAGCTATTACATAATTTATGAGGCATGGTATGAAAGATTGATTCTTTTGTCTGGAAATTTTATTAACAGGTTTATGGAGTTTATTCTATTCGATTGATCCACTTTCCTTCTGAAAGTTTTTTTTATTTTCTGTCTGCAAATATCTGACCCTACTTCCCAAATTTCTATTTCTATCTGGCCATTTTATGAGACATGATGTACCTTGGCAGGCATTAATGTGATGGCTGGAGTAGGTCTACTATCTACACCATATACAGTGAATCAAGCTGGGTGGATGAGCATGGCTGTGATGATTTTTTTTGCAGTTGTTTGTTGTTATACAGCCACCCTTATGAGATACTGCTTTGAGAGCAGAGAAGGAATCAGTACCTACCCAGATATAGGAGAAGCTGCATTTGGAAGATATGGCCGAATTATTGTATCAGTGAGTTAATTTATTTCCTTGTTTAAATTAATAGAAAATTGTTGACCGATGCTTTTTACATGGAAGACAGAAGTGTTAATTAGGCTCTTGGCAGTTGATGGTTCTGATTCTGTTCTTTTAGCATGACCTTAGATGGTTTTGGTTCATTTTAACCTGTAAGGTCTGTTTGAATAAACTTTTTTAAAACCACTTTTAGGTGAAAAAATAGGAAGGAAAAATGAAATAAGTTTCTTCATAAACTAAAATTAACTTATGCATAAACTAGTTTGTATAAATTCTCTCATATTAGTTTTTCCAATTTTTTTTAACTTATGTATAAGGTAGTTTTAACTTATAGAGAAACTTATTGTAATTTTCTTTCTTGTTTTTGTTCTCCTAAAAGTGCTTTCGGAGAAGTTTATCCAAACATACTCTTAATATTTATATGTATTAAGGCTCTCACAAAATGTATCAAGGCATGATTTCTTTGTGTTGTTTAATCTAACTCCACTTCACAGTAGTAAGAAAGAATGTTGAGATAAGACGTGTTTCATCTATGAACATATTTGATGTTTTACTGAGCCATGTTTACTATTGATATTTGTTGCAGATCATTTTGTACACTGAATTATATGTAAGTGCTCTACCTGTCTTCTGTTTGTTTTGAAAATACCCGCCTGTTTTTGTTCTACACCACACGTATAAGCTCTCTTTTAATGGATGCAGTCATATTGTGTGGAATTCATCACCTTGGAAGGAGATAACCTCAATAGTCTGTTTCCTGGTGCATCCTTAGATTTGGGTAGTTTCCAGTTAGACTCTCTGCATTTGTTTGGAATTTTGACAGCACTTATTATTCTACCGACTGTTTGGTTGAAGGATCTTCGTATAATCTCTTATCTATCAGGTGCTCCATAGTCTAAAATGATTCCTTCTTTTTCAAACTTTGTCACTTAACATGTTCTTACTGGAACTTACTGTGATCTGCAGCTGGAGGGGTTGTTGCAACACTCCTGATTGTTATCTGTGTGTTTTGTGTTGGAACGATAGACAGTGTTGGATTCCATCAAACTGGTCCATTGGTAAAATGGAATGGCATTCCATTTGCTATTGGTGTTTATGGATTTTGCTTTGCAGGACATTCGGTTTTCCCAAATATTTACCAGTCTATGGCTGACAAGAAACAATTTACCAAAGCACTAATAACATGGTATATAATACCTACTAACATCTCTGACACTGGCAAAACACTACATATTTGATTTATTTGTCTGATTCCTCAGCTTATTTCTTTGCGTACAGTTTTGTTTTGTGTATTTTGATATACGGAAGCGTTGCAATCATGGGATTTCTCATGTTTGGTGAAGGAACTTTGTCTCAGATAACATTGAATATGCCACCAGGTGCATTTGCTTCCAAAGTTGCATTGTGGACAACAGTAAGTTTCTTTGATTTTTGGGTCTCTTAGCACTATTTTTATTTTTGTTGTTTCATTCTAATGATCAATAACTTTTTCCCCCTAATTTTATGTTCTTTGCTCTTCTTTCAGGTTATTAACCCATTAACTAAATATCCTTTTTGTCTAAACTCCTTAGTTTATGAAAGTTTAAAATTTTATCATAGTTTGATAACATTCAAGAGTCCTTTTAGTTTAGCACTTCCTTAATAGTAAACACATATGCTTTGTTGATGAACCCGCTGGCAAGGAGTCTAGAAGAGTTGCTGCCAGAGAGAATTTCATCTACATATTGGTGTTTCATTCTTCTTAGAACAGCACTTGTTGCATCTACAGTTTGTGTTGCCTTTCTGGTTCCTTTTTTTGGTAAGATTTAGACTTTATAGTGCATTAATTTTAATGTCTCCTCCAATTAGTTCAGGCCACTTAAGAGAATGATATAACATTAGTAGCTCTCTGTCCATATACTTATAGTGCATGTTTCCCTTTTCATTTTGTTTATATGATTTGGGAATATTCTTATATGTTGTATTCTTCACCCTTTTTTGTTTTGTTACATTTTATTTATCAACCACAATCAGAAACCAAACTTCGATAGGTTTCTTTTTCACATATTTGTATTAAACTTGCCTAAAACTTGTTAGTTTGGTTTTATTTAATTTAATAACAACAATCAGAAGTTTTTCCTACTGGGTGAGGTCGTCCATGGATTAAACAAATAATATTGTATTCTGTTAAAAATAATTCTTCATACAAGTCATTTAAAGAAAAAGGATAGAACAACAGATAACTAGAAGGACCTGTAGGATTCAGTATACACTCCACAAATTCATGTGATTAGGAGAAAGGTGCGGTATAAACTCGGTTTATTACAGAATGCCCTGTACTCCATAATGCAATTTTCCCTTTCTCTCTCTTCCTCTTGTATATCACTATATTTAATTTCAAAACTAGTGATAACTTTTTTTTATTTTATATAATTTCAGGGCTTGTGATGGCTTTAATTGGTTCTCTCTTTAGTATACTAGTGGTAAGAAAAACGATTGACTCTCTCTCTCCCTCTGTGTCTTCATCAACATATACGTTGTTTATATTATAAATGTTTTCTTTTTTTGTTTTTTGGAAGAAATTAGGAAGCCATAATTCTGTTAAGATTGTTTGGAGGGACTCAATTCTTCACTTTTGTTTTCTATGATGACATATCCTATGTTTATTTAGTTTATGGTCTTCACCTTACTGCTATGTCAATCTTTTTCTTATATATATACATGAACTTCGTAAAACTACTTCTACAGTTCTAGACAGGAAAGGAAAGATGGAGAAAAAAGATTACTTTGATGTGCTTTCTTTTACTTCACTTTTTTTTTCTTAATACTCATGAATAAAAAATTACTTGTATCATATTACAATGTAAAAGTTTTATACCGGCAGTTCGTAACATTGTGGCAGAGCATGATTGGCTGCACAATTTTATCTGAATTTATCTGTTTATTGCATACTGACAAATTGGCATGGTTTCTAAAAGCTTTTAGGGAGGATAAGTGAAGTATTTGGTTTTGCAGTATATGAATTGTTATTGATTCAGTTTCTTGTAAGCAATTGGAATGAAACTGCTATCTAATTTGTAAAATGCTTTTTCTTTCAGTCAGCGATAATGCCGTCTTTATGTTTTCTGAAAATTATTGGGAAAAAAGCTACAAAGAGACAGGTAACAGTACTACCGCTCTTGTACTTTTCTTTTTCCTATAAAGAATACAGCAGATGACAAAATCTTTCTGTTGAAACAATTTTTCACTCACCAGAGTTTTATTTCAGACTTGAGGTTATTGCTGAACCATAGTTACTGTATTCAGCAATACTTAGCCATATTTAGCAAATAAAATTTGCATTATTACATTTTACATGTAATAATTTCTATAATCAGGACAGCATCTGAATTACATTCAACACAATGTATAGTTAATATGCATGTTGGAACTTGTAATTATTACATAGCCCAAGATATATATGCTCACATGCTTCTAATGTTTTACTGTCATATGCATCAAATCCATTGCAGGAGGAAACCACCCTAACCCATCTATATTCCTTTTTCAAATTTAATTTTGAAGCCTTGTTTTCTCTTTCAGCCATAAAAATAAACTGTTAACTGCATATTTTATACTAAACTTCACTTATAAGTGAATGATATTTTATAGAATAATATTGCAATATTATCCCACAACTAGTTTTCTTATTCCTTCTATTTTACTTGACTTTTATTTTACTGATAATGCCAGGTTGCACTCAGTGTCGCAATTGCTGCATCAGGAATCATTTGTGGAATCCTTGGAACGTATTCCTCTCTATTGAGTATTGCGGATAGTTATTGAAACCTTATAGACTTTCTGTATTGGGTGGTTATGGAGTGTTAACCCATTGACAAGTGTTTCTGGATGGCATGTACAACTGTTTGGATTATTTTGGTTACAAGCTAATTTTAGTTATATATTTGTGAAATCATGTGTATTTATGAATTTTATAAAGCAATTATTATATATGATTTAATAGGTTAAAACTAATGAAGATATTTAGTGAGACTTTTAGTAATTAAAACTATATATGAATTGTGCTAATGACAAATGGTTCAAACGGTTTCAAAATTTCCAATGATGAATGAAGGAGTCATGAGTAAAGAGTTATGAATGATGAGTCATGAGCAAAGGGTCAAAAACGAATAATCATCAATGAAGAGTCGTATCATCTCCTATAAATAGAGTGACTTATGTTGAGAATAATTACCACCTAGAGAGGGGTTCACCACCCCGAGTGTGAGAGAGGGGATTACTACCCAATGAGAGAGATGGGGTCACCACCCCATTGTCGAATGGAATGTGAATATTCTAAAATCTGAGTGGTTGTGCCAAGCTTGGTTTATGCTTGGAATCCTAAGGATTCCGTTGTAATTTTGAGAAATCGCACAAAAGGGAAAGTAGTGGTTCCCTTCATGGGATTCTCTGCTTTTTTCATTAATAGATTTATGGTATGTGTTCTTACCGGAAATCTGTTGTAGAGATGATCCTCCGAGTAAGATTGGTGAGCCTCTTTCGCTAGTACGCTTGATGCTCCAAGATAGGGGTGGTACCTGCAAAAGAGACTCCGATGCTAAAGTTAGTGTTTGTGGGTGCATGAGTCTCGTATAAGTAATGCACGTACCTTTGTGTGTATTAGGGTTTTGTTGGGCCTTGGGCCCGAGATCAGTTTATGACCTAATTGGATAGCGAGTCGATGTCGCCTAGCGCGTGTCCGAGGTCACTCCGCGCTGTGATGC